CAAAAAAAAAAAAAATACATAGTACTAATTCAAAACTGATGTGACAATTTAAAGATACTTTATCCCACTGAAGACACAAAAAATCAGCTGGTTTTCTGTAAACTGTAATTAAAGTTTAAATAATTATTTATGAAAAGAAAATGCACCCTCTTACCCCAGATTTGGAAGAAGCCAGTAATTCTTTAATTTCAAGTACATGAAGTAAGGCTGCAACTATCTCATCATTTGATGCAGACCAATTTACTGTTCTGTTAAATACAATGCAGAAAAAAATTATTCTAGGTAGTTATTAGACAAGTAGCTATTCCAAAGAACATATATATAACTCTGTACATTTTGTCCCTGAGCAACTTGGGATAAAGATATTAAGTTTGTCTAGAAGCAATTAGCTGATCTTATATGGAATAATTCAGTAGTCATAAAAAGTCATGAAAAAAATTGAGCCAACCTCAAAAATTGTTTTGTACTAATATGCTTATATAGTTTCCATGAAACAATTGAAGACACCTTCCTTTGTTGGAAAACAGAACATTAAAAACAAAATTCTTTCTCATTTAGTGAACAAAGATATATAATAATGTCCAGTTACTTCCAATTATTGCCTAGGAAGGTAGGTATTGTGTGATTCTACCCCAGTTGCATACTGTATGAGAGAGTACAGCGTGAGTAATCCATATACTGTAGTGAAGGAAAAAGGAATCACAGGGTTGGAAGGGACCTTCCTGTCCAACTTGAGGTACTTGAAAACCTCAAGTGATAGAGCATTCATGATTCCAGGAGGCAGGCTGTTTACTGCTTAATAGCTCTCATGGACAGGAAATTCATCCTTATTTTGAGGGTGCAAACCAAACCAAGGGCCATTTTTTTCTACATTAGATGTAATGAATTTATTTTGGCTAAAGGACAAAGGCATCAATAGTATATCACAACAATGGTTGGACCAGCCCAAAGTAAGTGGGGGTTACTCCACTGTAAACATTGACAGTTACATATTCCATGCCCACCAATAAATTCCAACCACATTCACACTCTGCATTCATGCCACTTACAATAATTCCCCTTACAAGTAGTCCTCAGGTTATGACAGTGATTTGGACCGGGAACTCTGCTGCTAAGCAACATGGTCATAAAGCGCAACCTTATGTGACCTGTCACTTAGCGATGGCAATTCCAGCAGTCCCAGTTGACAGTGTCAAATGAGAGCCATGTGGGTCGTTAAGCGAGGTCCTCAGATGGTTCTGACTTCCTGCCGGCTTCCACATTGACTTTGCTTATGGGAAGCCAGCAGGGCTTGTCAGAAATCATGATCATGTGACCGCAGGGAAGTTGAGACAGCTGAAACTTTGAGGACCTGTTGTAAGTCCTCCTTATTCAGTGCTGCCATAACTCTGAATGGTTGCTGAATGAATTATCGTAACCTAAGGACTACCTGTACAGCAGACTGTTAGGCCTTAAAACAGCATCCATCAACTACACTGGAAACTTTTTTAAAGCCTAACCGCTGAGGAGAGGAAGCATTATTTCAAGCAGAGGGGATGGGGGAGTGGTCAGGCCAAAAAGATTTTGGCTAGGGGAAATTTCTGCAACTTGGAATCTTTATATAACACTTGCCTAAAATCTGGAAAGCAGTTAGCATTCAGTAAAGAAAACACTTAGATGTATCATTGAATTCAAGCTTTCTGGTTAATCAATGTTATCACTAATCTGAACTGTAGTATCAGGTATTGCAGTTAACATTCTTTTCCAGAGGGACTGGTATTTTCTGGAAGGTGTAGACGACATGTCCAACTATTAGAATTGTTTCTCCAACTTCTAGAAGATGTTTCTAAAATGAAGAGAATTCTTACAAAATACTCACTTGTCTATAGTTTCATGTATGAACTCAGAAAGATATGCAGCAACAAGAACCAGCTGTTCTCTGATGTTTTCCAATTTCTGTTGTTCCACATGCAATCTTACAGTATCAGTTGTAAAGGTTAAGTTAGCATAATTATTTTTTGAGGGAAATTGGTTATATTTTTTTAATAATGTTTCCTGTTTCTTCAGCTCTTCTAGCATTTGTTGCAATTCCTTGAATCTTCTACAGTTCTGCAAATGTTGTAATGTGGACTCATTCTATTGGAATAAAAAATATAATAATTTGTACTATACTCAATAATGTATATACAGAATATTCATAAGCAGAGGGAACTTCCAGATTGTCAGTGTTGTTGGTTTTTAATTGACAAAAATATTATTTGAAATACACTTCTGAAAGTCTGTTTGCGTATCTGAGATTCTTTAATCACATTAAGCCCTCTGCTGCCATATACAAACAAATCAAAGAACCTCCTTGGGGTACAAGAGGCACGTTGTGGTAGTTGGTAATTGCTAAGAGAAACCAAGGGCTGAGTATGCTGAGCTGATATCAAATCACAGGAAACATCCAGAATATGATGAATAGGCTGCTGAGACTGTTCAAATCATTGATAACTATTCCTCTGAGTATTCAAGTGAGGATGAATGACAATGCCAAAAGGGACTTTGAACTGATTTTCAGAGACTACAAGGCCCTGGGCAGGAAGGTGAGGAAACTGGGAATACAAATACTGCTTTTGTCAATCCTTCCAGCTATCATGCCATAAGAAGAGGAACAGGATTCTGGAAGTGAACAACTAGTTACATAGATTGTGCTGCTATCTTTGAGTTCCTTGATCATGGATCTACTTACACGAAGAACTTCTGACAAAAGATGGACTACATCTCATGGAACTGGGAAGAATGTGCTCAACAGGTACCTCACCATTCTCAACAAGAGGGCATTAAACTAGAGAAAAAGGGAAAGGATGGCAAAAGCCCAGAACTGAATATACTACCAAGAACTGAGGCCAAAAATGCAGGAAACAATGGGGAACCAAAGGAGTGGAAGGGTACTTAGAGACTGCAAGAAACTACAAAAGTGGAGCTAATAGGAGGTACCCCTTATTATTTCAAACATGATATTGTTGTGAGTTTATTATAGACTGCCTAGATAGGCAGAAGACATGGATGAGTTCCTTCTATGCCACCTGACCAAACTTGACAATGGGAGATTTAAATTAACAACATCTACTGGACATCTAAGAAATTAAAGTCCTCTCTTGCTGATAAGCTTTTTTGTCAGAAAGTGGAAGAAGGGACAAAGGGAGGGGATTATATTTTGGATTAACAATTGTAGATTATGAGTAGATTCAAGTTACGTATTAGGAGAAATTTCCTGACAGTAAGAGCTGTCAACCAGTGATATAAAGTGGTATTTTCCCCTTCATTCAAAGGCTTCAAAGAGAGACTGAATAGCCATCTGTTCAGGACACTTTAGTAGCTCCTGTACTGATCAGGGGTTGGCCCAGATAATGTACAGGTTGGACCATAGAATCTATGGTTTTATGTAGACTCCTTGATACGTATTATACCATTAAGGCAACAAAAATAAGATATTCTTACTTGACTTTCTTGAGCTTCTAGCAGTGTCTTTAGATGGTGACATTCAGTTTGTTGTTCCTGGGTCCTTTTTCTTTCTCTTTGTACTGTCCTGATCTCTTGAGCTCTCATAGATTTGAGAACGGATTGCAATTGTTCCCATCCCCTTTTCATTTGTCCTTCTTTCTCTCTCTGTACCTCCAAAATACGAAGAACATCCTGTTTTTTATTTTGCATCATTGACTGTGTAACTTGAACAGTGTTTTGGAGATCTTGTTCTTGTTGAGATTCTTTACAATACATTTGCATTTCGTTCATTTGTTTCTTTGAATCAAATACCTGCTGCTGTGATTTCTCAATTATGGCTAAAAGCTCCCTGGCATGGGATCTTTCTAAATGCAACTGAGTTTGCAATTCCTGCAATGAATCTTTATGTTTACAAGACCCACATTCATTTAATCTCATAGTCAGATGTTCTGTCAAAACACGTTCATGATTCAAGGCACTTATAAGGTCTGTATTTCGTTTTTTCTCAATATCTAAATTTTTCTGCAGGTCCAACAGTTTATTCTGATCTTGGGATAATAAAGCCTCACAGCGAGAATGTTCAATTTGGAGTTCTTTACGGAGATTACTGTTTGCTGATTGTTCATGCTCTAAAGCCACAGTTAATTGATTGTTCTGAATACACTGTAGCTCCAAGGCAGCTTGCAACTCCTGTACAACAGAAAGATATATTTACATTAATTATACTGAATATCTGTGAAGTCAATGAGATTTGGTGGAAATTAAGCAGGTTTCAGCCCAGAAGATTATAAGTAAATTAAGAAAACTGAACAGAAGAAGGCAAAGAAGCTATTTCACCATCAAAAGAGGGTCCATCCCTTCCACCTGTGTTTTCAGCTATAGGCTACATCCTCCTGAAGACAAATGGAATTTATAACAGAGCAGCATAAAATTAAGGAATGGGTCTATCCTAACAAGCACTTACCCAAGACAAACATGTTAAAAAAAAGTTTTCAGTAAAGTAATGAGACATGAATAGTAAACATTCAGAGAGTATATTTTTGTCACTTCTATTGGAGTTGCAAGGGTGAGTCTATTTGAAGTGCTTTAGTTGATTGAAGCTGCTGCCAGGCTAGCCATTTTAACTATACAAATCTAAAGTGTGCTTTTGCTGGCTACCTGAAAGAAATGTGGATGGTCTAAATTTTAAGATATTTTGGAGTTGAATTTATTGCTATTAGGCTTTTCTTTAAATTTACTGGGAATTTGGACTGGTGGGACATAAATATCATGCCATATAAAGTAGATCTAACATTAAATTAAGGGATAACAAATTTGATAAAGCCCTTGGAGAAGATTTTAACTGGTGAGCAGTATTTTATCTTACCATAGTTCAGAATGTTTTGAATTTTCACATTTCATATTTTTCAGCATCTTTGATATTTTTGACTCCAATGACTATCAACTCTAGATTCATTACACTTATCAACAAATACAGATGTAAAAATAAAGGCCTTCCGCACATGCTGAGATATTAGATACTGACATACATTTTATACAAATTTATATAAATGACCAGAAAAAAATAGGGCAAATTCTTTACTTTTTATTGTTTGTAGAAAATGAAAGTGCTGTAGTAAATTGGTTATATAGCTGTCTTTTTACTGACTTGTATCTTCTCTTCACTACAAAAGCATTAGGTGGTCTTTGCAAGATAACCCATTGAAAAGAGTCTTTTCAGTATGTGGGTTTTATTTTTCCTGAGAAATTGACCTGGCAAGCTAGTACCTTAGTATTTGGGGGCAAATAAGGAAAACAACTGGGCGATCTTGTCCTCTTTTATATTTAAGAATTATTAATAACATTACATAGAACATTTTTGTGGCAGGATTCAAAGACACTGTAGAACAGAATACAAAAGACTATGTAGCAATAGGTGTTATTATTTTCATGAAATATTTTACCTCTATGGCTTTTGATTTCTCATCCTCTTTTATTTTATGCTGTTGCTGCTGTTCATCCAACATAATCTGTAATTCTTTGTTTTTAAGATGTTCACTCTGTAAATCCTCAAGTGCTGCTGTAATACTTCTCTCCTTATTTTCCAATACAGAACTATGACACAACATTTTAAAATACTATTTGTAAAAATTGTTAATCTAATGACAAATCACTGTTTTTTCAGCACACCAGGCCTTTAATGACTGAACAAATAAAAATTCATATATTTTTCACATTACAGATTTTAATCCCAATGTACAAAAAAAGTCAATTTCTGTTTATGAATCTCCTTGTGCTGGTTTCAATACCCAATATAAAAAATGAATTCTCAATCTGTGTATACAAAGCTGAAAATATACATTCTTAATCAAGTAATAAAACCTAGGAAGGGGATATATCATTACAAAATTAGGGCTATCTGTAAAGGGTAACTAAAATAAGAAATCATAACACTGATGTTGCAGTTAATTCCCATAATAAAAAGAATTAACAAAAAGACTTCATTATGTAAGAAGGAAGACAAGACAGACTTAAGAGAATGCCAGCAACCCTGGCTGCACAGCTGAGTGCACTCCGGCAGAGGTCCCTTTGTCTAGGCAAGCTGGCTATAACACCCCTAAAATTTGTCTATGATCCCATACCACCCCCCTTCTGTTTGAGAACCCTTATGAAAGAAAATTCAGAAAGATTGAGAATTCATAATATAGCAATGGATTAATCAAAATGCAAGGCAGGGTCCACTTGGAAATCTTTACCTGTATTTAATTACTTCATTTTGGGTTTTTTGTAAAGATTTTTCTAACCTCTCGTTTGTTTGTTTGCTCTCACAAAGATCTGATTTCAAATTCAATATTGCAGTGTGTTCCTGTTTCAGCAATTCATGCATTTCAGAAGCTTTTTCTTGTTCACGTTTTAGGGAAGTCTGCAAGTCATTTGCAATGGATTGCTCTTGCTGAAGTTTGTATTCTAGTAGTTCAACTGAGAATAAATTTAAACATTGTAAAATGTAAATAGATAAAATCTATTCCCAAAATTGAAATATTTTTTTCCCAAAATACGTTTACCATTTTTTTAAATGAAGCTTATTTACCAATTTAGATGGAAGGCCAATGAGGATAATATATCATTGTTGTATCACTTGCTCTCACTATTTGTTTCCCTTTCCCTTTATTGTTCAAATCAACTATTGATTTGCTTGAAATCATGTTAACAAGAATATTTCAGTGACAACTTGCCAATATGCCTGTATGACAAGGCAAGAATAAAGAAATACGTTTGCTGGATTTGTTTCTTTCTAATAAAGTATAATTCTGATGACACACAGGTAGCTCTCATTATTCAGAGACTCTGTTCCAAATGAAAAACCATGAATAAGGAGACATACATTTTATACAAATTTATATAAATGACCAGAAAAAAATAGGGC